CTACTCTTATTCATATTGAACAAAAAAAAATAGGTTTTCAGCTAGCTCAGTAAGGAATTCTGAGTGCTAGCCCCTGTTTTATATATACGTTTTATAATATACATTATCGGGTAGCAAGATTCAGAAGATGGAAAGGCGATGAAGCTGTGACATTAAAGATTTCTCAGATAAGTGCAGGGCTGAAATATGAGAAATGAAGGCGGGTTTCTAAATTCGGAGGGTTCGGACTCGTTCGAGAGATTGACTTCCGTATATGATAGATTTCTGTTGCGTATTTCTTTTGAGATCCCAAAAAAATCACCAAACGTACGCATAGAGCGTCAAAGATCTCGGCTTCTCCGAATAAATATGAGACTCCCTTATTTATGATTTATGGTGGAGTACAACCGCAAACGCTAGCGACCGGATGTTGGTTTTTCCACAGTCCGGATTGACCTGCTGGAAAGATACGTTACAAAGGATCAAGTTGGAAAGAGGGTCATGTTCCATTCAAACAAATGTTGCATACATGTTCGGCATTTGTTTTTGTCAAGGCGGAAGAGGAAGCGCGTGTGGTACGATAATACGTGGAACGCAAAGGGCGTTAAAAAATATGCATGCACATTCATGTACTTTTATGTTTTAAACAATGTTAATTATTTTTATCATAAAACATGAAATACTATATAGAAAACTTACGTGATATGCTGTAATATTATAGTATAAGTCTACCTTTTACCAAATAAATGCAATAAATAAATTATAAAAAGAATGTAATTAATAAATATTTTGCAACAACATGAAAATTTTCTTTCTTATAGAAAAATACATTGGAAAGAATATTTTCCTATTTTCTAACTAAATAATACCATAGATCCGACGATTAGAATTATATGCTTATGTAATAAAGAGCAATGAGACGGAAAGGAGCGTGAGAGAGAGACCTGCTAAAAATTCAAGAGCGCAGTGAAGACAAGCACGTGAGCGGGATGAAAGGAGGAGAGCATTACACAACTTACAATTAGTGAAACAGTTAGTATTTATTCGACAGCCTAGTCACGAGGGGGAAAAAAAAGAAAGCGATTGTGCTCTCATTGATTTGTCTTCTTCGTAAGATTTTTTTTGTTTTCTCCTCGGCTTCTTGGTGCATTGAACCCTCTAGAAGATTAGTTTTTCGCGAGTAAGACCATCTTTGAGTTTTGCTACATTCAGTACGAGCAACTGTCCATAATGCTTAAACCTGATACATTCAATACCCACGGAAACCTTTGGTTGGGCTATTGATTTCTGAACGTCACCGCTTGCCATAGAGAACTTTTAATTCATTTCCTTTCATCTCCTACTTTGTTTCGTGATATCGCGCTCATTTTCAGCTCCGCGAAATGGATGTGTATCAGCACCGTGGTTACCGATTGGATCGAAGCGGTAGTTAGTCTCGCAGGGAGAGATGATAATTCTTTAACACCATTAAATAGTATATTTATTCAACCAATCGTTACAATATATTTCTCCTTGTATTTAAATAAATTATCAGAAAATGTTTTCTTTTCTTTAATGCATGAAGTTAAAATACTATTAAAAGTTAATATAATCCTATGGATCCATTTTTTCATCAAGTATTTTTATTTACATAATGAATTATTTCTAAATTTTGCATTAGAAAAAAACATCTGTTGTAAAAAAATTACTTTAACCTATTAAGGCCCATGCCAAACCTGGGAAAGATAGCGTCAAACTAACTATGCCAATCATAGCTAAATCGAAAAAAAAATACCCGTGTTTACTTTTGCCATTTTCAATTGTTTATAAAAAATTATTTAAACAAATTATCAAAAAGTTATTATTTTCAAAAAACTGATAGCGGCAATCGATTCTACGGGAAAAAACATGAAAGAAATGTATATAACGTTTTTTTGTCAAATGTCAATTTGTTCCAAAAACAAATAACTGTAAAATAGCGATTTTCTATATTACTAACATTCAAATTTCTATGAAGCTTCATCCAAATTCAAAGCTTTCTGTCCTATTTTCTTAAACAAATTGACGTCTGACAAAAAAACGTTATATACATTTCTTTCATGTTTTTTCCCGTAGAATCGATTGCCGCTATCAGTTTTTTGAAAATAATAACTTTTTGATAATTTGTTTAAATAATTTTTTATAAACAATTGCAAACGGCAAAAGAAAAAACAGGGGTATTTTTTTTTTCGATTTAGCTACGATTGGCATAGTTAGTTTGGCGCTATCGGCAATAGATTTTGCTTGGGATTTGGCGTATACACAGGTACCTGACAGATTTGCAATTGTTTATAGCCATTTTACACTAACAAATTGACGTCTGACAAAAAAACGTTATATACATTTCTTTCATGTTTTTTCCCGTAGAATCGATTGCCGCTATCAGTTTTTTGAAAATAATAACTTTTTGACAATTTGTTTAAATAATTTTTTATAAACAATTGAAAATGGCAAAAGAAAAAACACGGGTATTTTTTTTACGATTTAGCTACGATTGGCATAGTTAGTTTGGCGCTATCTTTCCCAGGTTTGGCCTGGGCCTTAATGGGTTAAATACTACAAACCAGTAATTATAAAATGCTAAAAATCATATATTTGTGTGTGGTTTGAACAAATTCATACATAGTCATTTGAAACTTTTGGCAATTAAGCTCAAAAGCTAAAGCTAACTACAGAAAAAATATATAGGAAAATGTCGTCACATATTAATATAACATATTTAGATTATTTATAGATTAATGAAACGAGTGTTTTTTTAATTTCAAAAATATTTTTTAGTGAATAACACCTACGTTGGAACAAAATATATTTTTATTAGTAAAATATTTAATTTGAATAGAAAGTACACTGAGGACGTCTACTAGAACATTGCAGAATCAACTTTTGTGTAAAGCTTCAAAATCCAAAAAAAAGATAGAACAAAATTAGAAGTGCTTTCAAGTTTTAACCACTACTATATATAATACTAGCAACATTGGTGACAGTGACTTTCATAAGAATAAAAAGACAGACGTTTTGGATTTAATAATATTTTCTAAATCTAATTTGAAGGTAGACGATGATGGCAATATTGTTAAATTTGAAATTATTAAATAATGACAATTAAAAATTAGCCAAATTTACAGTAACCCCTGGAAAATTAATAAATTTAAATATTATTGTATATTTAATTAGAATACTCGTATATCGAAAGTTATTAGATTAAAGACGCTCGATATGTTGAAACTTATTAAAATATAATTTAATTTTGTCTCTTAAATGTTACTAGATATAGTGTGATCAATAAAAACTATCAAGAATATTAGATTTTATGATCATCAAAAACTATTGAAGTTGTGACGAAGAATCGTGGCATGTGCCGTCGTTTCTGTCGTTGAGCTCTCATCGGAATCCACGCGCCCCGCTGGGCTGCGAGTGTGTGCGTTTAAAGTACACACCCATGCTAGCCTCTTTCTTTTCCCGAAATGCGGCGCTAGGGAAAGCGGCGGAGGAGGCACAAACAGCAGGTAAAGAAGAGCAAGGAGAGAGAGAGAGACGAAAGAAAGAAGAGAGACGGACAGAAAGATAGAAGAAGGAAGAAGTTACGCGTATACCCTCGCGCCAATTTTCTTGGCAGTACCTACTGAGATTGAGTACAAACCGTCACTCGCGCCCTTTTCTACTGCCAATTTCACCATTAAAAAAAGCGGGTTTCCCGTGTTTTTGCTGACGTTCATGAGTTATTATGGATAATCGTCCGGTGTGCGGGATTCGTTTGTTTTGTGAAGAAGAAATTGACTGGGTCGCACCCAGCCACGAATCGCTTAGAAACCCATACCGGTGCGCGTGAGGTTTCGAGCCAGATGACGTAGGCGTGCGCACGTGAGCGGCCGTTACCAAGCGGGCATTTACTGAATGAATTGACAAGCAGAAAGATCGTAAGAGGAGACGAGTAAAGAAACGGTAATAACACCAACAGCAACAACAGAAACAACTATACAGTCACCGGCAACATTAACACCACATACATATACATACATACTCAACAATAGCAGTGGCGGACAGAGAAGTAACGGAGAAAAGCAAAGCAGGAGGACGAGGTCGGTGCTACGATTTTCTCTCTCTCTCTCGCTCGCATGTTTCCGTCGCTATCACTATGCGGGTAGCACGGTAGATCTGTCAGCTACCTCACCGTGTACGAACGTTATTCAACTTTTCCTTTATTACAGCTATTTTGACTTGTATTTCGGAGTGCGGGAGTAGTAACGAAGATGGATCGGGTGGCAGTGCAGCCGACGATTCGTACTTCATCGCGGCAGTGATATTTGTCGATCGTGAGACAAGTCGAAACGTTGTTATTGTTATGTTTTTATTGTTGATTTGTTTAGGTTGATTAAACTTTTTATTATTTCAATACGTATATTGTTATGTTTATTTAGCTCAGTGGAGCATCAAATCTCCTCTTTAAATAATTTGTACGGACGGGCACAAGTTACCCAAATCGGAAACGATCGCTAGAGCTAACTTCGTTACAAAATTTATTAAAAAATATTAAATAAAATGAGATTCACTGAATTATTATTGGAAATGCTACTAGAAGTGATTTGATAATATTGAAATTAATTATGTATTTTCATATTCTGATTGCAATTAAATTCTATTAACTGTAATTAAGAAAGAACTTCATTGCAATTAAGAAATAATCAACATTAATCAACGTGATTATTAAAATCAATCATTTTATTAAAAGCGATTGAAGTTTTTTTAATTTCATCAACTCGAATGAAAATCGGTAATTTATTTTGAGCAAAATTGGTTAACTTATTTTATTACGAGGTTATTATATGAAAATGTGCATTAAGCTATTCAAGGTTCGATATATTATTTCTCACTATTAATCATAATAAATTATGTTAAATTAAATTATCTTACTAAAGATCTAACGAAAGATTTTTTCCAACCTATTGTTTGGAAAAATTGAAATATTGGAAAATAAATTTATAGTTAATTGAAAAGTATATTACCATGAAAATCTCCAACTCTGATCAATGGAACTCCATTTTCTTGCATTTCTAATTTTTTCAGTATATCAAGAGACGATAATGAAGGCGTAGGTATATGATGCAGGTCATTGCCACCTAGATTCAACCTCTTCAATTTCCTTCTACAAAAGTATGAAATTTTATTTAATTTGTATTCTATGGATTATACTAATTTTTACATATTTAAGCGGAAATAGATAATTTGAGATTTATATATATTAAAAAAGTACACAACATTTATTCAAACTCCTTCTTGATTACCGCTTATAAAAAAATAATTGATTATCCCTGTAACCTAGAAAATAATCTTTGAAAATTAATTAATTCAGCCAATCATAGTCTTAGTGAGATTTTCTCATGATTGTAATTATCTCCTTCACTTGACCTTAGCAACTAAAGCGATGGTGGTTGAAGAGTCGGCGTGCGCGGACGTTCAACTACACAAAACTGATAGCATCGAAACATCAATTGTTCGATTCGACTTTTTTTTAGTATCATTTAGATAAAATAATTAATAGAACTAGCTCTTGGCTCGTCAGATGACAATAGAGCCAGCTTTTCATTCGTCAAACTTTAATAGAGTTAGCCTTTCATTTGTCTAACATTTGTCAACTCTTCACTTTCCTAACTAATAAAGTCAGCCTTTCGCTCGTCTGACAATGACAGTAAGGATTAAAATTTGTTTGGAACTTCTGTAGAACCTATGCAGAAATTTCATAAAACTTATGTGGAACTATTGTAGGTTATATGTGGAATTTATTTGAAGAGTAGTGGGATTTTTTAGAGCTTATACGAAATTTCTGTGGAGCTTTTATAGATTTTGATTATGGAGTAATTATTCGAGTCTTTAGTAGTTCATTCACAGGTTTTAAGTAGAATTTATGTGGGATTTTTTTGGATTTATGTGAAACTTTTGTAGGACTTAAATTAGATTTTATGAAATCTTTTTGAAACTGTATGGGACTCTTATAAAACTTAAGTATAAATATTTTTAGATTTAATTTGGCCGTTGATTTTTCAAAGGCGCTGCTTATCAACAAGGTTAAGCCTAGCTCATGATTGCGTCCAGTATTTGCATACTAGACCTATGCGATATCTAAATTTTGTTTGTTTTCGCAGCAACCTTGCGAGCTTTGGAAGTGATGACGTTGTATCTTATTGGCGATCGTCAAACTCAACCATGATGGCCAATTAGACGCGATGTCAATACTAACTTCGAGCAATCAAGGTACTATATAATGTCCATCCATCTTACACGGATATAAATTGAACTCCTATAGCCTACTCCTAACTCCTAACACGAATAATCGAACACCAAAGGAAAAATCAGGAAGATATATATTTATTGCTATATGCTTTTATATTGTTAATTTACCTGTCTATTTTTGACTAGCTCCACTATCTGTTACAAGCAGATATACATCAAATATACGAAGTCTGTCCCAAGAGTATCCGACCTACTGTGATTTTTCGGCGCTTGATTTAATCTTCATCATCTGAGGAATGCTATCCTTCAAAGCAATCTCCGTTTAATTAAATAAGACGTTCATATCAATGTTTCCATTTATTAAAGCAAATTTCAAGGTCAGACTTTGGAATTGCTTTTAGTTTATTCGTCGTATTAGTTTGAACAGTCTCTTTATCGTCGAATCGATGTACGTTAAGCGGCATTTTCATTCGAGGAAACAACCAAAAAACGCAACGGAGCTATATCGAAATTGCATGGAGGCTGATGAATCTACGCAACACTGTTTTAATAAATACTGCTGCACAAGGTATCCTGCATGCGCTGGAGAATTGTCATGATTGAAGGAGTCAGTTACCAGTTTCTCAAAGTTGCGGACGTTTTTTCCTGATTGCATCACGTAATCTTTTCAAAACTGCAACGTAGGTTATATATGGAATTTATTTGAAGACTAGTGGGATTTTTTAGAGCTTATACGAAATTTATGTGGAGCTTTGTTGATTTTCTGGCTTGTAGGAGCATATTTGTGGTGCACAACGTCCTAAAAAATCAATCTACATTGACTTGATGTTATTTCAACTATGACGGGCTTTTTTCGGCCGAGACTCGGATGGAAGTTTCTACTGCGAAGATTGTTGTTTTGTTTCAGGATCAAAACAATAAACCCATGATTCATCACTGGTAATAAGCTTTTTAAGAAAGTTTTCATCACTATTTATTATTTCCAGATTGTCCTGAGCGATTTCTAATTAAAAATTTTTTATCTGAGCGCAGGTACATAATGAATTTTTCACATTCACGAGTCATCCCCAAATTCGCCAAATAGTACATTTTGGTATTTCAACTTCATCTTTCATTTCTATTACAGCCAAGCGACGATCTTGTTCAACTGCGACACGCATACGCTCAACATTATCCGACAATATTCCCGTCAAAGGTCGATCAGAACGAAGATCATTGTCAACAAATATGCAGCCACTTTTGAATCGCCTATACTACTTGTTTACTTTTATTATTATGTTTTGCCCACTCATCTTAAAAAGCCTTCTGAAACATTTCAATAGTTTCTGCTCAACTTTTACCAAGATTAAAGCAAAATTTTATACAAATTCGCTGTTTGTTCTACCAATTTAGGCAATAAACGAATTGCAACGAACGCAAACAAATCGTTGTAAACAAATACACGTTGTGCGGCAAATAAGGCATTTCATCGGTATGTCGGACTACTGATAAGAAGGTTAGGAGTTGCTGGTGACGTTTGTACTCTCCAGAGATCACCTAAGTCTCGCCGCGCGAAGATATGAACGTACGTCGGATACTTTTGAAATCGACCTCGTAAATATCGACCAAATTTCATTATAAACAAAAGCATCGTGAGCCTTAAATAATTTTTCTATGATGTTTGACTTACACTCTGATTTCAGATACGAGAGTATGTTCTACTGTTTTCTCAATTTTTTTTCATTTTTGCATCTTATTTATTTAATTCATTTGCTAACGTTAATTAATTTGCTATTTGAATCCTCTAATTATTATTAGATTATTAAATTGATTTATTAGTTTTCATATGTAATTAGTTTTGTAAGTTAGGCGATATAATCCATTTCATAATTATCAAGTAAATAAATAAGATCTTACATTAACTTTGCAATATACGATTATTCCGGAACATTGAATTACCTTTTCTTTTCCTTTTCTATCCGTTAGCTTTTTAATACAAACAGGAATCCGTTCTCTTTTCTTAGTTTCTAGCTCACAAATAATAGTGGAGTGGCATTGTTTCGGATTTCTTATAAATTGAGAATGTTCAATACCTGGACTCTTTATTTGGAAACTTTATTTACAATCTGTCTATCATATTGAGACAATATGTAAATGTTGTTAATATATATACAGGGTGTTTCATTTTAATCCGACCACGCGCATAACCTAGTAGAAACAAACTTATCAAAAAATGAGCTCCACAAAAGTTGCAGGGGACAGAGGGGGCCACCAATCGCTACCATCAATTTTGACCCTTAATACGTTTTTCAAGGTCATCTGAAATTCAAAGTGCTTTTTTAAATGGGAACCCCTATTTTTTACTCCGGAATCATTTAGAGCAGAAAAAATTATATCCAAAATGATATTTTAAGCTTATATTTATGACCTGATAAGGTCAATTGAAGTTCAAATGCTCAAGAAACCTTCTAATAACTGGTTTTTTAAATTTATTGGTAGAATAAATATTGTAAAGATACCTTTTGAAAGTAATTATGTAAAATGCCATGCTATTTTTGAAGCTATTTTGCAAGGTCATTTGAAAGTCATAGTGTTCTCAGACCACAGATTGACCTAACAGACCGAACCAACGTTACAACAAGTAACTAAAAACTAAAATAGCTCAGAGTAGCAGCTACATAAAACAGAGCGATGATATAAGAGATTGCCAATCGCCACGTTACGACCATTATGACTCGCAGGCGGAAGGTACAGACCGTCAAGGACGTCTTGACTGGCGAAACCGAGTGATAAAAGACAACCGATACACTAGCTACCAATCTGGAGCACTCAGTACAAACAAAAACGTTGACCATTCAGACAACTGGGATAAACGCTCGTCTAATTGTGACCGCCCCGACCAGAGCGTAGAAGGCGAAGCAAAGCTAGAAGCCCAGTGAAGCGTCCCAGTCGTGACAACAGCTATGAATTAATGAGAATAGTACGCTCACAACACTTAGGCGTAAATCATGCGTCACGAGAGTCCAGGAACAGGAACCGTTGTGACAGCCAGGACCGTGAAAGGCAATGACGTGAAAGATCAAGTAAGTCTAGACACTTCAGTAGCGATCGATCCACGAGCCAACATAGCCACAGGTCGAGAACCAACACCAAACCGCCATATAAATCTAACCAAAATCGAATACCAAAGGACCAACGTGATCATGGAAACAATTGGCGTGAAGCTGACCGCTACCGCTTGGTCTCTGAACGCTCAGAACATTCAGACCACAGACGCTCGAGCCGACGGCACCGATCACACAGACGAAGATCTTCAGGTTCAGAGGATGACGTCGCAAGCCGTGACCTACCCAATATAAAATTACTAGAAAGTAGAAAAATCCGATTTAACGAACATGATGGATCGGAGGATTTCATCCAGCAAATCGAGACTCTAAAGCGGCGCATTAAAATGACCAGCAAAGACTTACTAGAGATAATAACGGTAGTATCCTCTAAGGAAGTAAATTCATGGTATCAAGGAATATCCAAAGAAATACATACGCGGAGTGACTTGAAGAGAGAACTGAAAGACCCCTATGGGCGACGACTGATCGATGATGATATCGAGGAAGTGCTTAGACGAAGGACTCAAGGTGAAGGTGAGACCATAATCAAGTACTTGAATGCGTTCAGGTATATCGTCAGATAATTCAAACACTCGATACCAATGAAACAACAAATTAAAATTGCTAGACGCGGAATAGTCCCAGCCCTCCAGGATATACATGGCTGACAAACATAGGTCGTTTCAGTAACTTGACCTATTACGGTCACAAATAGGAAGATCTGGAGGAAATGGATAAGCAATATCATCCACCACCGACCAAGACTCATTTTCCAGCCACTGCACCCAAAACATCAAACAGACTTAAGAACAACAGGGTGTCGAGCGTA